TGGTTTAAGTCGAAAATGGCGAACCTACAAACTGACCTTTTTCGGTTAAAACCGAATTTCTGAAAATGGATTCGGCGTACTTTAATCAGTTTTTATCGGTTTAAACCGAAAACTCCGAACCCTACCTATGACGAATTAGCAATCAACGAATGGGCTGCCGATGAGTTGACCGTCGACAGGTTGGCCTAGACCCAGGAAACTCAAACTTGTCAGAGACGTTCCGTGCTTCCGTCTCACAGTGTGAGATAGAACTAGAAATAGAAGTTGGAACATGCCGATGTGCTACCGACTATGACAATTTGCTGATTTGCGTATCCCCACTTGGTTGCTGCAGTTTTGGGTTGGATTACTTAGCTTAGCGTTAGGAAAGTTGGATTATTGACGTGACAAGCTTTGTTCAAACGTTTGGCGGGCTACTTTGACATTTTTCACAGAAAAAATGTGTAACATCAACCAGCTCGCCTGCCTACTCACTCTATCTACTTCAACCCTTTTTTTTTTCGGAGAAGTTTGTAACGATTGGAAGAAATAAGTTTTGTTTTTCTTAACGTTACCCTCATTTCAGTGGACCGTGCGATCCAGAAAATAGATACAAGTGAAGCTTGCCGTGCAGGACAGTGTGGCAGGTTATTTTGACTGAAGGGAGGGAAAAGTAGATGACTAGCTGAATGATGGCGAGACAAACGCAAAAAAAGTATGACGAGGAGGAAGGCGAAGGGGAGGTGCGTAGCGACGAGTGTTGGCGTGGTGCTATTTGGATGAAAACCCGTTTCCGACAGTGGGGGCGTCGCAGGAGGCAGAGTTCACCAGACAACCAGGTGGAGCTGAACGAGAATGGGAACGGAACTGCTGAATGAAAGAGAGTGTGGCAGTACTGGAGGCTGAGGTCAGCGAGCTGAGGGAGAGCCTGATGGCAAAGAGCGAGAGCGTAGCGAAACAGTTGGAAGAGCAGGTAGAGGAGATAGATGCAAGGGTAACGGCAGGAGAAAAGCGGAAGGCCGTAGAGACGGAACTGGAAGGGTTAAAACCCAGAGAAAGTGGAGGGCGTGCAACACGTGGGAGGGCTGAGTGCTGTCGGGGGGGTGCCTTCACTAGCAGGGAGATGTAAGAGGTAGACAGGACGATGCCCGAAATGAGCAGTCGACGCCGACCTTCAGTCAGATAGTCAGAACAAGTGGGGCCACGGGAGGACAGACAAACACAGCATCAGAGGGTATGAGAAGGAAGGTGACAGGACAGGGGGAAATGGAGGCAGAGTGCAGGATGGTGGTAGGAAGTTTGAATGTGTCAAGATGGAAAGAGGCCAGTCCTAAAGACTGACATGATGAGACGGTGCAGGTAAAGGACATGCCAGGCAGGAGTTTTACCGAGGTAATGGATAGGGCCAAGGACCGGATATGGGACGTGAAGGGAACGAACATATATATAGTTCTCTTCCACGCAGGGGTAAATGATGTACCCAAGTTGAAGGGGCAGCAAGAAGCAAATAGAAGTGGGAAGTGGTCTCGGAGGGGGTGCACAATTGTGCTGTGCACCATCCCAGAGGTCCTGCGAAGGGGTCCGGAGGAAGCCAGGCAGATTATTGAGGCGAATGGAGTTATCCAGGAGGTGAGGGAGGTCCTTAGGTACGACGTGATAAACGTCAACCAGGAGATCCATGCGACTGAAGCACACCACCCTTTCTCCTGGGATAGCACCCACCAGTGTACCCTCAGGGTGACAGGTGGGGTACAGGGTGGGACGTAGGGCTAGGTTTCTTTTATGGGTGCATACGGGCCCGAGGAGAGCCCCCGTCTGACAAGAAAAGAGGCAACAAGGAAGGGCAGGACTAAGACTCGCAGGATGTAGGGATCATGAACATGCACCTTAAGGCATCTAGCATTGAGGTCTACCCCCTATTCTTTGTATCAAAGCCAATCAGAGCTCGCATCATTTTGACATCACCACAATTCCTGCGCAAAAAGCCGACGACTTGCTCTTCTGAATTTTATTGACAATAACTTTGGGGAACGAAAACGAAATGTTTGCACTTATTTCTTTATTTAGATGTGGTCTACGTTGTGCCGGCAGCCCAGAAATAGCTAGAAGAGTGGCTGTCTGAGCTAGTTGGTCATTTCATAAAACTTGTGCGTGTGCAGCAAAGACGTCCTGTTCTGTCCTCCCTTTGTCCTTGTCTTTGCTGCACATGCACAAGTTTTATGAAGTAGGCTAGACTAATGTTTCTGGGCTGCCAACAAAAAAGTCAAGAAAACTAATTTTAAAAGAAATTAACACATTTCAAAATTGTGGCTGGTGGTCGGTGGTGGAGTTTTAGTCCTGGGGCCCTAATCTGGACACTTGGCGAAAAGTCGGCAAGAAATCTGGCGGCCGTGGTTGGCCAACGCCGCAGTTGGTCTTGGCGCCGGCATATCATAGCCACCGGATTTCTCGTTGACTTTTTCGCCAAGTGTCCAGATTAGGGCCGCTGGATATGATTTGGCGGAGAACGCCGAGTTTACTACGTTGTATATGTTAAAACTTCCACAGTATGTGCCTTTCACACTATCAAGATCACCGTTTTTCGCAGACGATACTCGTTTTACTGACATCTCAAGAGATTGTGATGTAATCCTTTAAATCAATAAATGAGTTTGAAAAAACAGACTAACAACGAAATGGCATATTTGACATGACTAGGCAACATTCCCCCCCCCCCCCCCCCCCTCATCCCCTCTTTGAGAAAAAGTTCCATGAACGCCCATGAGTAGGCTCATTCGACTTAACTATATTTGCACCAGATATATTAGGTAGGCTAGTGTCATACTGTCTACAAGTGGTACAGTTTAGTTGTAGGCTGGTGCCGGCTATATCGAACAAGCTCAGTTTGTCCACTTTGCAAAATTTAGCTTTGCATGTCTGACACTTCTAACAGCAAAGAGCCGATTTTCTGGGATTTGTTAATCCAGTTTCTTTTTGATAATGGGTCTGGAAAGCACTAGCTTGAGGCAAGCTTTTTGTGCACATTTTCTCTGCACGTATCGCATGAAGTCCACCCCTCCTCCTCCTCTGCTTATTAAAACATATTTGTGTTGTCAACCTCTTTTGTGAATCCTATTTCCAATAGAGCAAAACTCACTCTCACGTGTGCCACTCGAACATCCTTCTCTATGTGGATTCTTGTAATTGTGACATCATTATAGTCGATGACAGGTCAAGAACGATGTGGAAGCTCCTCCCACCTCTTTCCACTTTAGTAGAGCGAACGGTGGAGGAGGCTGCCTCCTCTCCACCGTTCACTCCGTTGAAGTGGAAAGGGGTGGGAGGAGCTTCCACTTCGTTCTTGACCTGTCACCAACTATAGTCACCTCTTTTTACAAGTGTTTTTTGGTAGGTCTGGTGCCTGAATAGCTCTTCTCCCGTGTGAACTATTCCATGGTTCAGTGAGCTTTTCGCCTGAACTTTTCATGGCAGACGCCAAAACGGGAGGGCTTCTCCCCCACGTATATCGTGTTGCGATAGGTCTTGGGGTAATAACCGCAGCAAGAACACAATCGACGCTTGTGCTTGTCTTCTAGATTCTGCCACTGCACGTACGACCCATCTTTCTGGAAGGAGAAGCATGCCAGTCTCCTGCTTCTCACAGTCAATGTTCTCCTCTTTGCTGCCAAAGTCTGTTTTGGCCAATTCTGTTCGGATGACACAAAAAGCAAATCAGATCACAATTTTATTTTTTGTACTTTGGTACGACACCACCATTTGAGAGCTTCTTGACCCAAGAGTGACCATTTGTGCACATCCAAAAAACTTGACGAGCTTCCCTGCAGTATCAGCCGTTTCCACCACAATATTTGCAATTACATCTGGAAGCTAGTTGTACGGCAGTCAAAGGGCAAAGGCAAAGCTGTCGTGCCAATAACATTAAAAAATTGCCTTGAAGGAGAATTGGGAAGACAGGTCAATGTGAATTTACTGCCTTTTGTTTATTATATGGTAAGTGATATAAACTCATACAGAAAAATGCAATAGTGTCAGTGCAGCAAGAGAATACAAAACGCTGTGCCGCCACCAAACATTTGAAACACCAATGGTGTCAAAAAGTCTTGAGAACCAATATAAGTTGTACTGATCCTGCAAAACCTAGCTCATCTTTATTTCAGTGATGGAAGTGGCATTCAAGCTTTTGCAGCAGGAAAAATAGTAGCTTGGAACAGCCACTGAAGCTTTTAGAACAGGTGCCAACATATGTTAGCACATCACTTGAACATGAAAAAGTGATTGCATCGCTAAATGAACTCATCTTTGGCAATGACTGAGGATTTTTCCTTGACACTGGAGTGTATTACCTTTTGTAATAAGAATAGATATGTGGCGATAGCCACATATCTATTCTTGATTTAGTTTGAGGAACGTTGTGCCAGTAGCACAACGTTCCTCGAACTGATCTGGCTTTTTAATTGCACACGATTTTCTTCTTGTTTTCCCAGTGGCTATCGCCACAGATAGAATGCAAAAAAGTCAGAGCTTTTTTTTTTTTTTTTTTTAGATTTAAGGTTTTGGTCAGAGTAGGTTCCATTTACAATGGGTATTGTGTTTGTCCCTTCTTTATAGCCTCCGTCTTGACTTCTAGAAATGTTTAACTGCAACGTTTAAAGCCAACACAGCTAACACCATTTTCCAAATAGCGTCTTCTAAAGTCAATACGGCAATGCTAGCCAAAGCAGGACGCATAGCTTACATGCATGCAGAGTAAGAAGCAGTCACCTGCAAATCCTAGGTGGTTTCGTTGAGGCTTGGTGCAAGCTTAAGCTCGAGATTATAACCTATTTTTCCTGAGTGGGGCAAAGTGAAACAAGGGGTACCTGCACGTGGCACGGTCTGTTTGGAAGCCTTGCTAAATGCCTTCAGCTGGCATCGCCACATTGATTTTAGCAGACGGTATTGTGAAAATGGCGCCCACTGTTGCCGGCTTCAGACGCTGCATTCCCATGTGCATCCCTCCATCAGACATTTCATTTCCATGATGATGGTGACCAAATCAGACAAACTTTATTTTGCGAAAAGGAGATGGCTGTGTGGCGAGATCAGGTGCACTTCAGCTCTTTTGCCATGCTCTCCAATGGGAGGAATGCAAAAAAAAAAAGATTAAAAAAGAGTTAAATGCAGATGGCCGAATTTCTTCAGTGCCTAATATTTTGACCACTTTGAAACAAAAAAGCATATTTTTATGGCCATACATAGTCGTTTCCTCTTCAACGAAACATGAAACTAAAGTATCAAACTGACATATTATCTTTTCAGAATATGTCGTAAACCAGGCATTGCAAATATCTAACCTCATGCAAACCAAATTTCTTGCAAATACAGGACCTGCAGGTCAGCTGCCAGGCATTAACACATAGGAGTTTGAAACAAGTTTTCCGTGCAATGCATCTCCAGAGGTCTCACAACGGTGGTATTCCTTGCACGTATTACCTCTTGTGCTCGTTTAAAAGCTACGTCTGGGAGAAACCCCTCTCATGGGTTTCGCAACTCTAGGGCTGCACTCTCGTGTGACCTCTCTCATGGCGTGTCATGGAAGACAAATGGATAAACGCTTTTCCGCAAGTCCCACACTGAAACGGCCTCTCCCCGGTGTGGATCCTTTCGTGATGCACTAGGTGAATGTTCTGCACAAACGCTCGCTGGCAAAACTGACACCTGAACGGTTTTTCGCCTGTGTGCACCTTTTCGTGTGTTCGTAGGTTAGACCTGTGTGGAAAAGCCTTGTGGCAGAAACGGCAGTGGAAGGGCCTCTCCCCTGTGTGGATCCTCTCGTGACAGGCCACATTGTGTGCATAGCGGCTGTGGTAAGAGCAGAAGCGGCAGCGGTGCGTGCCCTGTTGATGGTACGTCCTCTGCTGCTGCATGTCCAACCGGGCTTTTGAAAAAGAGAGGTTGCTCCCTCCATCCTCGCAGCCAAGGGCCCCTTTCTTTTCCGGGTATGCCTCGATCTCATCTGTGAGAGCAGTGGAACGAAAGGAATCGTGCCAGTTTTAATTTTACAGACATTTTTCTGGACAGACAGCATTCAAGGGCTCTCTCAGCCAAGAGAAGGCACTCAGTCTCTCAGCCTAAGGATGCATTTTGATCATATTTGACAAGGTTCTTTATACACTGTCAGGCCAATACATTAGCTAATGAAGAGTTCTATCTGCAGATATAAACATGATTTTATACCTCTACAAGTGGGACAAATCAGTGAAATTAACCACTTAAGATAAAAGTATTGATTAAATATTTGCCTTTTTCATGCCAAATGTTGATAACACTACTGAAAATATGAGAACTATATCTCAGGCTAGTGAAACAAAAAACATTTCAGGGCTACAACATAGATAAGAATTATGAAACATTGCCATGTACTTTTTGTCATACCAACCAAAACAGCACAAAGTAGGTAACCATATGATGTTGAGCTTTTGCACATGTCATTGTAAAGATGTCAAATTTGGTGCATGGTCAACTAAATTTTTAAGTCAAAAGTATTATACGCCTTTTCATTTAGTTGACCTCCAAAGTCCTCGAGCGAAAACACGTCAGCGGCACAAAAGGTACCAAAATGTTTATGTGACATCTGAATTTTAATATTCCTCCGAAAAGACTTTTTGCTCTTGTCCCTCGGCTGGCGTCGCACCAGCAACCTTTCGTTCAATAGTCCGACACGTTACCCCTCTGCCACGGCGGAGGGGTACCGCCACATCTGTAAATGATGTGTCGTCTTTGATGCAGCGGCGCTTGGGCTTTCGCCTTCAAGTCATCTAAGGAATAACCTAAAGAGATCCTGTGAATTTTATTTAACCATTTTGTCTTTTAGTAGACCTTTCAGCCAGTCTTCTAATACTATGTCAAAACTAACCCTCTAAAACATCTAGTATCAAACAGTCTTGTCGTCCATGTGGAATCATTCATGACTCCTCTTTGAAGCTTTAGATGAGTATGGTTTTAACAAACTGCAAATTAGGGTAGTTTCTGTCCAGTGTGCTTGCTCTCATGCCTGGTGGCATTCAATTCATTCCTGTTGGAGTACGAGCAAGGGGTGCTGATAAGCATACCACTCCCTCTGTGAAGCACCTTGCATTGCTGCCAGTTCAAACTGGCATTTCGGAAGGAGAAATCTACCGTCAGTGAAAACCCCTTCGCCGCCAAAGGTTGTCTTGGAAAACCCTGTTGAAAGGCAGATCAAATTCAATGCGAGTTATTTACACTACTCAAGAAACTGGTCCCACAAGAAATCACAACAAAAGGACAGCTACACTTGAATGCATCAAGTAAGCTCAGGAGTTTACGCTCATCCAGTGGATAACTCCAGAAGTGGCACAGCCACAGAACTGTACACAAACAAGTGCACTCTGAACATCAAGTTACACTGATGTAAAAAAATGAAAGATGTTTACGATTCTCCGTAATGCCGAATTAGAGCGCAGCTCTTGAGGAGGAGGGGGGGTAAAGAGGGGAGGGTATGCCCCCACTCCCCTCCCATTGAGCGGGAAATTTTCGCTGGATTTCCCACTAAATTAAGCAAAAATTTCCTAGCTAAATTTAGCGAAGAAATATTCCCCGCTAAATTTAGCGTGAAATTTACCAACATTTCCCCGCTAAATTTAGCGTAAAATTTAGCAAAAATTTCCTCGCTAAATTTAGCGGGAAATTTTTTCCACTAAATTTAGCAGAAACATTTTCCCGCTAAATGTAGCGGTAAAACTGAATTGGTGTTGAGTTCACGTGACATTGATTTCCCCGCTAAATTTAGCGTGGAAATCTTTCTGCTATATTTAGCGGAAAAACATTCCTGCTAAAATTAGCGGGGAAATTTAGTGCAAAACTTTTCCCGCTAAATTTAGTGGGGGAGTTTTCCCAGCAAGTTTAGCGGGAAAAGTTTACCTTTGTGACGTCACACGTGACATTACGTGTGACGTCATTATGAAAAATGTCCCATAATGCTACGTGCAGTTACACCGACGCTGACGCCGGTAAACCCAGAAACAAACGCTTAAAAGCTGCACTCTAAAAAAAAAAAGAAAAAAAAAACATTCGCAATTTTAATTAGATGCAGTCTATCTGTGCTTCAATACATCACAGGCCACAGAAGCCAATAGATAGACATCACTGGAGAAAAGAAGCATGGCCTTCAATAAAAAAAAAAAGTGTGGCACAAGTACAGTGCTCTGTGTGCTTCCAGTCTCCTGAAAGGTATAACGCAAAAGCAACAATAGCACCATGTCATGCTGGGTCCACTTCTGAGGATAAGATGGCAACAAATAAAATCAGGTGGGTTTGCTAGCTAAGGTAAAGTAGACAGTAAGAACGACGGCATGCAAGTGATCACGCTGTGGCCACACGGCATTTGATCTGACCTGTCACATCTCTGTGAGAACATAACACAAAGGTCTGGCCATGGAGGTAGGAAGAAGAAGCGACATACCGGCTCAAGCCAGCCAAACGAGAAAATCGTAAGTGGAGACGGAAGTAGAGGGAGCAATTGGTGGCAACGCCCCCAAGGTTGACCAAAACAGCTGTTGGCACCAAATCAGCTGTCCTTTCTGTCCAATAGCGTCTTTTGGTTTTGGTCACCGTTGGGGAGCGTGTCCCTCCAAACTCAAAGTCCCCTCCGATATCACCTTTGGAGGCGTCATGTCACCTTTAGAAGCTTCCTACCTCCATGGGTACGACACTGCCTAAGGTTGACTTGGCAGAAGAATGGCCATCTTTCCGAGGCAGCAACATGCCATTCACCACTTTATCCTTCGGAGAAGGCCCAGATTCTGACCTGCAAAGTTTTGAAAAGAGCTTAAAATGATTCTCTCAACATAACTGTAGCACAAAAAATTATTTTTTTAGCGGAAACTTTACTTTGCGACACAAATGTTCTCTTCCGGCACATAAAAAAATGGGGGGGGGGGGGAGTTCAGTGTCATTTTAATGAAGACGCCTGGGCCTCCATCAAGCTATGACTGTGGTGTTTCATCCTTGTCCCACTTCAACCACAAAACAAAGTAAAGCAAAACAAAAATATCATCTCTAACCAGGCACAAGTCATTAAAAACACGCAATAAGGAAAGTAGTTTTATTTTATTATCCCCGAGGAAGCCCTCTCATGTTTGAAGTAAGAAAAGGGGTGATGTAAACCGAGACATTTGGGCTTAATTGGAGGAAATCACAACATCGCGCGCCATGTGCCGAAACTAGAATTGAACGATCGAACATGTACTAGCTGTAAAATGCACGAGGCTTCGTCCAGCCCTCCGGAAAGGGCAAGAGATCCGGCGAAAGTGCTTGGATGTGCTGTTGAGGGCAAAAGAATGGAGGACACAAATATAATAATCACAAAGAGAAAGTTAGCAGATTGATGAAAAAGGTTCATACTCGCAGTCAACTATTTTGTGCTACGTTGTCGAGGCTAGCTTAGCTGCCACAGTGCTCCAACTCTGTCAAAGCTGGTTACGCGAGAACGTGCAAATGAGACACAAGACGAAGCCAGTGCAGGGCTGAAGCGCTGTAGAAGCTACGCTAGCATTGAAATTTTAGCACAAAATAGTTGATGCCAAGTGTAGGAAATTGTAAAATTTTACATGAAATCATGGGTTAGGTGACTTAAAGAGGAGACAGAATTTAGGCCACAAGTTAGGAGAGAGAGGAGGACACGTTTCAAGGCTAAGTAGCAAAGCTTCTGGCTAGCAATAGAACTTTTCTTTCTTCATTGTAATATGAGTTGCCTTGCCTCATTCCAGGTGCTCATGAGAAAGATAGTGAGCATCCCACAGTTTTTCGAGCTACACAAACTAAACATATTTTCAGAATGTCCAAGTTTCACTCATCCCTGTATGTTATTTATGGTCTCCAAATTCAAAATAGTAGCTAATGAGAAAATGGCAAATGAAAATTATGCCAAAACCAGCATTCAAATTTCCCCATGCTTTCCAGTGGGGTGATGTCACACGCTGTATAACTTGCAAGCAGGAAGCCCGAAAAAACGCAGCATTTAACGCGTGGCCTTTTGTCTTGCTGGCGTGAGCTTAGCTAACATTCATTTCACACCACCAAACTTCTTGTAACCCATGGGGAGCAATGCACCCATACTGCCTTACATTACTAAGTCTGAAGTCACGTTTTCAGTGTTGCCAGTAGCGCCTCTCAGACCCAACATGAAACTTCAATGACTTTGCAAACAAACATTATTGCAACTTGTAATTTGAGTAACTAGTTCAGACGTTACTAGTTCAGATACAAGTTTGAGGCAAATCAACGACAATCAAAATTTAACCTTCAAAATGTTCTGAGCTGCCCAAACTAAACACACCTAAGGAATACCCAGGCATCAATCTTCCCGTCCTGCTATTAATTGTCTTTAAATTCGAAAGAGCAACTGAAAAAATAGCGAATGAAGGTTATGTCAAAACTAACATTCAGATTCCTCTGTGTTTTCCGGCAGGGCAACGTCACATGTTGTAAAACTTGCAGATCAAGCAGGTTGTCTAAAAAACACAGTATGTTGTGTGCATTGGTTTCTGTTCTGCTGAAGTGAGCTTACCCGGTGTTCATTTCGCATCATCAAATATTTTGTAACTCGTTGAAAATAGAGTTCCTGTAGAGGCTCCCTACGAGAGCCAGAGTTGCGCGTTCATCCCCGTAGCGACGTCTTTCCTGCACAGCATGTTCATCCTGCTCCTCATGTGACTGAATTCGGCGAATAGCGGCACCGCGTGTTCGAGACGCGCGGCACGCTCAAAAGCAGGGGAACGTACTGTCGGGGCGCGTGCAACATGAACTATCCTCCACAGCACTTAATCCGGATCCTCACGTGATCGGATCTCGGCGAATAGCGGCGCGGCGGCACGTGGAAAAAGGATGCGCAACTCTGGCTCCCATAGGAAGTCTATACAGGAACTCAAATTGAAACAACCTGTACCGCCCCCAATAGACTACTGCCATAAATCCCTGCATGCAACACGGCGTGCGTTGCACTCTGGGAACTAGTTGGCCAGGAAGGAGAGTGGCATGGTTTCTGTTTTGATCGACACGTCGACAAGAGATCATACACAGAGCGTGGACTATTAACGGCCGTTATCTCATGCTTTCTGGTCCCGAGAGCGTCGTTTTTGATCTCTGAACTAACCTAAATGGCCAGACCTCAAAGCTTTAGCACAAGTCCGAGGCGTATCGATTGAAAGACTGAAATAAACACATCACAAACAAACACACACATGAGCCTTTCTGTTAGCGTTTCGAGGTATGTGGACAAGCCAGTGCTGGGAATCTCGACGCTGCGAAGCTCGGGGATCTTGCCTGTGTACGAATCAGCAAGCTGTAGTAACCATTAAGTATATTTGCATAGATCGAGCTCGCGCCTTTATATTAGTGTTGTTGATCAGGAAGTTTGTTTCGTGCGTCCACACACGAAATATAACTTTTTGCAATTACTGTTTTTCTTAATACGCTTGAGTATGCGAGGTAAAACTCGGAGGCGTTATTGAAAAGCTCCATTTGAACACAGTTCTCATCTCTTATCTGTACTGCCCCGCAGCACTGCACGAAGTGAAGTCCCCACCCGCTTGCATTCCACTAATATTCAACATCGCGTATGTGCATAAAGTTATCCATCAATCATATAGACACATTCCCACATACAAACTGTTTTAAGAAAGCAAAAGTCGAGCACTTGTGCGAAGAATGTCGCACCGTTCGCCGGAGGTGTGCCGGGCGGGTATGAACCCCTATGCGGTGCGCCAAACGAACAAAATTATTTAAAGCGCATTTGACAGTTGCTAATGGCCATAATATTTGTTATATGTTTGCTTTCTTCCTGACTGAGTATGCCAAGATAATTTCAGACACACCGCTCAGGCACACATCTTGGGCAATTAGAAAAGCTCGTCCAAAAAGGCTTAGCGAGGAGTAGGCGACGCTTGTTAGGGCCTCCGTCGTAGCTGGCCGATCTCAGCGTTTACGAAAACTTAATCTTCTATCAGCATAAAATTTGAGTGTGACATATGTCATGACACGAGGAAGACATCATAGTAACTTTGGTGCAGTAGTGAGATTGAATTTATTGTGTTTCCTTAAAAGTTCATGCGCCAACGCTGGGCTCAACTTTGATAATCCTGTGAGGATACGGCTTGGCAAACAAAATATGTGTAGGGCTCAAGGTGGCCAAATTTTAGTTGCAGTTCACTGGTACTAGACGGGATTACTGTCATTGAGCTCAAAGATGCACTCGTGGGGTGAGGTGACTAAGCCACGTCTTACTACGTCTGCATACGGACGCATAACATCCGGTGTTTCGGGAACCAAGGAAAGTGCCCCGGTTTTCGTTTTGTATCGCTCGAGAATGAATGTATTGTACATTCGTAAAAAGTAAAATAATCGAAAACGCAAGCAGCGAGTTCAGTTGCGGCGTGATAACATGAGATGAACTTGCTCAGTCGAAACCGAAACTGAGTGGCCAACTAGTTCTCAGAGTGCACTGCGTGTTATTTCGCCGCGATGGGGCGCGTCAGTTTTGGAAGAAGTCTATTGGTGTCTCTTGTCACGTTTCCAATGTTGCCAGTACAGTTTTTCAGCTAAAAAAAATGCTGAGAACAAAATTTAAAAATTCAAATCACTTTGCAGGAAAAAAGTTTCTTTTGACCTGCAAATTGGGATATTAGATCAGATGTACTTATTAATGTGTGGAACAAACTTTGAGGCAAATCAAAGAGTAAAAATTTCGGCACAGCTCCTTTAATTGTAGAGGCCAAACCAGCCAAACGACCAAGAAGTCATCTATACATCAAGAACCACAGTAAGAAAGTTTGCCTCACCGCAAAATATAACTAATTTCACTCTTTATGAGGTGAATTAAGACTTAAGTTGTCTGTGCATCTGATACCAGCTATCTGTATTTAAAACATGTACATGTTTCAAATACAAAAACAAACAATTTTTTTCTCTGACAACCAAATCTTTTAAAAACTACCATTATTTCCAGGCTATACTCCACAGACTATACATGTTTAAAAGTCTGAATTTTATGCGGTGCAGACTGTAGACGCTTTGCATGCGCGCCAGATTACATCCGCCGTCGCTGACCTTCTCTTGTCTTACCGAGATACCAAGCTACTGAAACGGGCGTTGATAAGCCTCATCAAAGGCCAATGCTGGGGAGAAGAACACAGTAAAATCTAAAATGGCAATAACCTGGCCAATGCAATGAAGTGAAGTAAACGGATTAAGAGGAAACAAAAACTGAAGGTCGGTTATGCAGGTGCCCCCGCACAACTGCTGCAAAGCGTCTATACGCACAGCCGCTGCAGAGCACCTTTACAGCAATTTGTTTTTCAAGATTGTTGATTATGACTAGGGTTCTGTGATTTCTGAGTTAATTTTTTGTCAAACTTGAAGGGTGTTTTTCAGAGTTCATTTATTTGACAAAAATTTGGAGTACATATACTGTAGTTTATTTTTGTCAGATTCCCAATTCTTCGAAATTAGTGGTAATTTTGCAGTGTTTCCTTTAATTAAAAAAAAATAAAATAAATAATATCTGGGTGCAAACGTGGGCTTGATTTAAAGATTGTGCCTGTATCAGATATTATTTATTCAGCTAGATACGGAATTGCCATCTTCTCCATTGGCAATACTATTCTGTCCCACAACAAAACTTCCCAATAAGTGTTGCTTCGATAAACATAGGTATTTTAAAATCACAATGGAGGTAGTGAGCCCGCTTTCACCCATCCTTTCCATTACTTTTTTTTTTCCTTTATTTGTTTGCGGACCTTATCCGCGTAGGGGGGGCAAAGATAAAGGTATGGTGCCTGACGGAGCCTCTGCTTCCCCTTGCAGTTCAGTAACACAACATCTAGTCTACAAAATAAGAAACAACTATTGAACAAATATAAAACAACTATGGAACAAATATGAAATAACACTGGAACAACTATGGAACAAATATAAAGCAACACCAGACATCAGTCACGTCATTGTTACGAGATATACCAAAATGCACAAACTCTTTGCGATCAAGCTCTCTAGGCATCACTTTTGAAAAGATATCTATTTTACCAGAAAAAGAAAATGAACAAAATTAACAGTTCACGAAAAGGACATTAGTTTGAATAAACCCCATGGCTGCACCGGTTAGAGTGATAAAGGGTGTAATATACCGGGTGTTTCAGCGGAGACTGACGAAAATTCCTAAAATGAGTGTATTCGGGGTCAAAAGATAATTTTTTCGGGACCGCATTACTCGTGGTGGCGGACGTCAGAAAATGAGCGATACTTACGAATTAGTTCACTAGTTAATTAAAAATTAAAAACGCAAGTCGACCGGGTCCTTTGTTGGCGGTTGCGGATCACGACACAATGTATCTCGGGAAGGTGGTGGGTGGCTAGCTGTAGGAGACGTCTGCAAACACCAAAGGTATCTGGTTTTTTGCTCGTTTCTCCAACTCTACAGACAAGCAACGAGGACCGCACTTCTGAAATGGTGTATTTTTAGTTCCATCAAAATCAGACGTACCACGTGGCAGACGTGATCCCTACCTGGAGATGTTTCACGTCAGTATAGTCGCCGACGGAACAAGGACGGCAAAGTCAGAGCCGTATACTAAGAGAGTTTGGCCATTCATTGAGAAGTATAGGTGGCAAATGAGTAGACGCCATTGGCCGAGAGTGGGCTGGGCGTGTTCCAGGGTGTCTTCACAGATTCAAACGTGGCCAGCCAGAAGCAGCAAAGAATGCCCTGGTGGTGGTCGCGAGAAACAAAATTAATAAGTCAGTCTTAGTGACTGAAAATATGATGCACGTGATTCTTCCAATCACGGTCATGCCAAATCAAATTCTAGGAAGACGATCGACGTGGCGAGGGCAGGGAAAATGCCGTCCGAGTGGTCAGACTATGACCAAGCAAAAGACAGTTCGAGCAGCACATTCGATTCTTACATCTTTAGCATGATCATAATCGAAACATCAGATGCACTATATTTTCAACCATGAAGAGTTACTTCATTTAACTGTTACAACCTTCTTAAGCTTGTTTCTCGCTACCACCGCTAGGGGTTTATTTTAGGCTTCTGGCTGGCCAACAGAGCACGTCAAGCCTTCTATCTGCTTCTCGTGCACGCCCTGGCTCTGCTTGCTCCTCCACTGACCAAACCCTCTATATATACGGCTCTGGGCAAGGTGTGTCTTTCAAACGCACGAGACAATGCAGAGTTGTCAGAGGTAGAAATGTAGAAAGCTCTCCCTCGAGGCGGGACAACTGAAGCTTCTTGCCGTCCTCACCTTGCCAGCGACTATAGCACGCATTCTGTGGATGGATAGATGGATGGATGGATGCTAATGGCTGTGCCATTTATAACAGGCAGTACCTTGCGCCACCTAGCCCAGAAACCAGAGCACTCCATGTCCAGTGTTGCCGTTGCGAGGCTGCTTTGCACCAAATCGGCTACTTTCAAGCTTGTCTAGTGACCAAAAATTGAGGCTGGCCCCCTGGCTACAGATTCATCTACAGCTGCGAAATGCTTTGTCCACAGTTCGAAAGACAGATGCCATAAGCCCGAAAGCTGTAACGGGTGCCAAGAGCCGCTCAGACGTAATGAGAGTACCATCTCACTTTTTTTAAATATTCTTCTTATGTATGAGCCAGAATTGTGTCTAGCACCTGCAGTCGGTTTCTAGCACCTTCGACCATACAACCGGCCTAAACTCCTGGCAGGGAGCGGCCACTTACGAGAGCGTTATGTGATCTATGTCCTTCCTTTTTACCTCGCAGAAGGTGCTCTGAAAATCCTGCCACTTCCACGATAACACGCGGATTCTGTATGCATTTTCTCGGGTTTGGATGACAAATACTCAACAAAGGAACAGGATGAAGATGTACGTCCCTATGGCAACTCTGGGAGTGAAGTTAGTGTTGCGGCTGCAAAAAAAAAAAGACAAAAACATCTTCAATGTGTCACGTGTCCATCGAGCACCTTCAAAATAATGAGTCTCAATTACTCTTACTGTAACAGCATTTACTCACGTTGACCAAGAGGGCAAGAAACCTCATTCGTTTGGCACAAAAAAAAATAATAATAAAATGGCTATTCTGGACTTGCGTTTCGGCTACTTTTATCAACCACCCAACGGAACACTGTTCCCGTCTGTTCACCAGCGAGGGTTTTCAGAATTCAGCACTCATAAATTCCTAAATAGCCTCGAGAAAGGGTCATCTGTTTTATCCTCATTTGACTGAAACGGTAAGGCGCGATCGGCAAAGGCTACTTACTTGTCCAATCTTTCAGTGGTTTCCTGTCAACCTCTAGGCCAAAACTTCTAAAAAAAACGCGTTTATTTTTTTTTAATTTACGATTTGAAAATCTGAGATATTAAAGTGATCCCTGTTGATCACCCGAATCCACTTACCCCCGGAGTCTGCGGCTCTTCTGAAACCTGAAGGACGACATATCATCGAAACGGCAGGCACCACAGGTGTAGATCAACCCCTGGGTGAAGCGTACGAATTTCGAAGACTCCGGAGGAATACACAGAGCGCAAGCAGAACGTTGCCAAGTCTACAGTCCGACGCGATGCATAAACAGAAGACGTCACGAACGCCGCTGTAAGTTCAGAAGTTGATCTGCGTGAGTTTTGCGATGGAGACGAGACGAGTAAGTGTGCAGGCGAGCTGGGTGCCAGCTTAACGTTCCCCGATGTGCCGCTGTTGCACGTGGGATTAGACGATACTGTGGACCCTATCCGTGGCAGTAACGCGGTCATCCACTGATGGTTTCTTGATAAAACCAGGTGCACGGTCGTTTCATGCCGTGTCCACGTTCACAACACAGCCAACCCACAATCACAACAACCAACACCTCAAACAATGGATTGGATTGTCTTGTTTCTGGTCAGAACTTTCGGAGCAGGTTTCTCGCCAAATGAAAAAATTTATGCCATCTTCTTTCGTGTCACCAGGAATAAAAAGTCTGTACACACAAAATAAACATTAATTTAGGAGAAATTGCAACCTTTATATGTTTTTATTGTAATTAAGTCGGAATCCAAAAGAGCAAGACACTCCAATCCGGCTTGTGGCAACGCAAGAAGGCAAGAAAGCAGGCAGTGAGCAGGCCTGTCAACAACTGTGGGCCTGTCGATAATCGGAACGATCGGAACCTGTGATCGGACCAGTCGGGGTCCGCGCGTCGCGCAGGTCTACACCGTCCCGCTATCCTCTGCTCTAAGCAGAGCAAAGAACCTCTTTCGCGCAGAGCACATAACGCTCCACTCGTACCCCGTGCTTTGCTTTGGAGTCTTCTAATACCAGACTGAGAGGTGTAAGTAAATTCCGAAGATTTTTTTTTTTTTTTTTTTTTAAGATTTTTTTGGTTACTTAGTTGGCCTTCGCAATGAAGCCGGCGAAAGCCCGGCTGGAAGAGGGCGTCCAGACAACATCGCAGCTCAAGGCAACGCAGACTGCGGAAGGCGGCAGAAAACCGCCCCGCGATCGTGCCGGTGAGTAGCCTTTGGCCATCGCGCAGGTATTTATACGGCGAGCAAGTCTTCCGAAAGGCGTCTTCGGCACGTCGGAACGCAGGGAGGAGCGTGTCAATCAAAACGCGCAACGACGAGGCATGCCAAGCGCTCGCTATCATTAGTCGAGGTTGGGGGGTAAACGAAAGCACAATACTCGCCGTGATTGGTAGTTTCCTCCTCTCCACTCGCCTTCTACAGTGTTCGCTATGCCAAAGTGGGAAGAGTGGAGGGCTCTGTGAGAGGAAGCAGTGTTTGTGTTTGATGGAGGCCATCCGTTGAAGTTGCGTAATTGCCACGTGAAATTTTCTTAAAAACTCCGCTTCATTTTTGTCCTCTTCCTCTTCTGTCCTCTTCAATATCACTTAGGAAGACCGCACGTCAAATATGACGGCGTAGTTCTGTCTGTTTCTTAAACCGTCCGACAAACTTTGTGACTCGCCAAGCTGCCGAAATCGGTTGACTCGAGTGGGCGAATTGATTCGCAACCAATAGTGCAGTCAAGGCTACGGCACGGGCGTAGCCAACATTCAGGTAAATGTCATCACCATTGCCCCCTTTTGCTTGTTTTTACTTCTTCGGGGCAAGTGTAACGAGTGACATCAGCAACGTTAACTCTCGGTGATCATCGGTGTCCACGTGGTTGGTGTAACACGCCTGCGCAGCACGCCTCTTGGGAGCCGTTCGGCCGCCCTGCCCGTTAACGCCGTCTCCCGCATCGCAACCGTCGTCCTCGTCTCACCGTTTGTGATTATTGTCTCGGAGTTTCGTCCACACTACGGACACTACATGCACAGACTTATGCCACAGTTGTGGAGACGTCCTCGAATGTCGTAGGCACCAAAACGTGGTGAAGAGTGTGGTGCAGACGACGTTTGCTCCTTGCACACGCTAGCCCCAATCCTGCTCATCGTTGTGTCGATGGTCAATAATGTGACGTCTCATACCTCGTACCAATGTTGCCGGACAGAGCCAAAGTTTCGGTTTCGATTTCTGCTTGTGTTTAAAATTAGGTTTAAAAATATATATCCCATTTTTCGCAAAGCAAATGATTTAGTGTCTTTTATTGGGGCTTTTTAATGCGAAATCACTCATTGTCCCGAAATTTTCGGAATTGAGTGGGGTTGCCCTTTAAAGGGGTACTCCGGCGATTTTTTGAGCTACCACAACTAACTATATTTTCTGAGTCCCCGGCCTTTACCCTTTCCGGTATGCTATTTAGTATCGCGAAATTCATAATAGTTATTGCAAAATCGGCAAATGAAAATGATGCAAAAACCAACATTCAAATATACACACACTTTTCAGTGCTGTGATGTCGGTGGCGGACAGGCTTGCCAGTCGAGCGAGCAGTCTAAAAAATAGAATATGCCAATCATTTGTTCCGTGCTGGAGCACAGGTCCTGGAGCAAGCTTCCAAAGCATTCATTTGACACCATGAAACTGCTTCGAGTCAGTTGGGAACACATTCTACAGTCCAAAGAGTGAACCCCTGCAATTCCACTGACGTCACTTTTTCATTGTTGCCAGTAGAGACTTTCAGTTTGAAAAACACGGTGAGGTCCAAAATTGTAAATTCAATAACTTCGTGAAAAACAATTATTTTAACCTAATATTTGGGATACTATTTGAGCAATGTCATTTGGCGAGTCTAGCAAAATTTCAAGCAAATCGGGGACCATGAAGAAATCGCCGGAGTACCCCTTTAAGTCGAAATGCAAAAAGACAAAAAGAAAAATGCTACTGTCGCATTTCGTCTCCATGTTGGATTCATGTCTTCAACTTTGACATCTTAATTTATTGAGATTTGAGTATTACACTACATTCGTACAGTCGCCAAGCAAGAAAGAGGATGTGCCCTGCACCTTGCATGTCCCTTTCTGTTAGGTTTGTCCAGAGGCAGGCATGTAGCCAGGATTTTGTTTCGGGGGAGGGGGGCCGCCCATGACAAAATGCTGTATGAGGGGGAGAGGAGGTCCCAGCAAAATAAATGGCTTCGGGGGGGGGGGGGGGGGGGGGGGGGGGGCACGTGCCTGTCCAGAGGTACATGGACTAAGAAGAGAATTTCTTTAGACATTCACAATTTCTTTGTCGCATGTCATATTGCTTATCATTTTGATAGCAAATGCTGCTCGCTAAAACCCCTACACGTGCTATTGCATTGGACGGAACCTCTAATCCAGGGGTCTCAAACACGTGGCCCACGGGCCTCTTTGGAACGCGGCCCGCAGATAACCGGCTACGAGTCCCGGTTTCTATGTGTCAAGTCTTAGAATTGGCATGCACCATCGCGATCTCATCTTGCCGATACATTTCGCTGGAAAAGTAGCTCAGATCTTTTAACGTATTCACATAGTTCATACTTACCTTTTTTCTTTTGCCATTTGTTTCACTTAATTTTTGATTCCCAGCTTTTTGTATAGTACAACAATTCCGCTACTAGGCTGCAAGCGCGCGAGCTCTTCACTGAAGAATGCATCTTGGCTGCTCGAGTTCTTCATTAGCAGGAAACAACTACCAAAGAAAAAGCTACGAGCTCTTGATTCTCGCATTAAAAAATATCACAATTAAAAAGACAAGTATTTGTTCAGAGCGATGGAATACAAAACGTCACGAAAGCAAGAGCTGTCAAATTAACTGATTGTTTTTCTAGACACATGTTGAGCTTGGTTAATTTATGGGTTTATGGGTGAATTGAGCAACAGGAACGACAGTGTACTTGCACTCTTGTTCTATTAAAAATGCCAACACTTTGGCGGTACGGTGTCATTTTAGTTATTGTCTAATCAAATCTATAGATGTCAGTGGCAACATTGTGAGATTACAAAAAGCAGGGAGCAGAAGGTCTGGTTTCTAAAATATTTATCCTTCTCCCCCTCCCTGTCTTATGTGGGCCCTCGACCTTTCCGGTGTGGGCTATCTGGCCCCCATACTCAAATGAGTTTGAGACCACTGCTTTAATCCATTTAAGCCAGACAAATGTTTACTTGTCTTTCTTTTAAAAGGGTAGTGCAACGATTTTTGGTGTTGAAAGAATTGGCAGTTTGTATTTTTTATATTTATTCAAGCACAAGTGACCAAAAATGCGTCACCTTGCTCTGAAAAACTGCTATTCCGGTGCCTAATTGCAAAGAAGTAAACAAAATATTTTCCGACCTGCAGTTGCTTGTGGTGGTTAACGGAACTGATGTGTGACATACTCTGGGGAATACACGGAAGTGAACAAAACCTGTCCCCCTCCGCTGCTACGCTCGCCATTGCCCCCGTGGCGAACCGTCTTTTGTGCCGATCGCTAGCCGCGACCTTCGATGATGCTAATCCTTTATAAGTCAATAATCGCAGAGGAAGCTACTGGGGTCTCTGAAGAGAGAACCCAAGGGGAAACCACGTGATCCCCCAGAGAACGTCACTCGAAAGGCGACGAGGAGAATCGAGGCGCACTTTGACCTTCGATTTGTTTCATTTTTTACGTAAAAACTAGCGCTCGAAAGAAAATACCGTTTTCTGTTCTTCGTGCGATGGGTGACACAGATTAATTTCCGCAGTTAATTGGCCAAAGTCTGAAAATCATTGCACCGCTACTTTAAAAGGACACTGATCAGGGGCGGATTTGGGATTGAAGGGAGAGGGGGGGGAGGGGGGGTTATTGCCCCCTCCCCCAAACTCCCCGTGGTAAACTTTTTTTAAATAAAATCATTGATATACACCAGCCAAAAGTTTAGTTTTTGGTGAAATAGCAAATGTTGGGTCAACAAAATATATCTAGGCAACGTAACGCCATATCCGAGCATCTCCCCCCCCCCCCCCCTCCTCCCCCACCAGCCGAATGCCTACCGCCCCTCCCAGGCCTGCCCTTAATCTGACACTAACGCCTCCAAATTTTTTTAAATTTTCTTTTTGCCAAGATGTTTATTATGGTGTCAGAAGACTACCCAATCAATATTTTGATATTGATTGGATATTGACAATAAAATCAGGTGGCTGTGCAACTTTTTTTTTTTCAGTCAACGTATTTGCAGCATTTTAGAAGCCAAAAAAAAATGGGTATCATATTTCTTTTCTACTTTTAATATTGAGTGCGTGCCTTCGATGAGCCACGACTTCGATTGTATTTGGTGGTTGTGTCTAAACCATAGAAAACGGCATGTGACTACAGAGAAGAGAGGGAGCGCGACTCAAACCGGCCACTTCTTGATTGGTGGTTTTTGGGCAGAAAGAAAAAAGAATTTCGAGCTGCAAATTGTTTTCAGGGTAGTTGGGATCTCGTATGTCATGCACAAATAAAAGCCTTGGTAAGCATCAATACCCTGTCAGTGTCCCTTTAAAAGAGCCTAGTAAAA